ACACCGGCACGATCCGTCAGTTTTCTTTTGCAGTTATCACTACTTCATATTCGCACCGATACAGACTTGAATTCACCGTTCGGCTAAACAGTTCCATTCCAATCAAGACTTGTTCGAATACGGTAAAAACTTCCTAGATACTTTTGAGAGTGTGTTAATTCTGTTTCTGATAAAACTACCCATTATTTCCCCTCATATCAGTTTATATTTGCCCATAATCTAACCTGAGGACCATACTCAACTCAACGCTTTCCTAAAAGAGTTTTCGGGTGGTGAGCAAACAGCCCAGATTTGTTTTGCTGCAAGGGAAACGGCTGAGAAGGGGTGGGAGGAAAGCAGAGTGTAAACCGCTTGTGCTACTGCCGATCTCGCACCGTAATTGGATCGCTACGCTCGCGGCGATCGGGTACAGTATCGAACGATCGGGAATGGATCAGAACGGTGTCCGGGAAAGAGTAAATCGCCCCCGCCAATATGTAAATGAATAAAAAGTGCCTGGTCCACGATGGGTCCCTTCAGGAATTCTGAGGGTTGATTGCTGAAGTACCTGCCCTTTCATGGATACTTACATTACAAACTAAGTCAGCGCCTGATCCATCGTTAAAGTCCCTTGCGTACAACGATGTAGTCCTTCAGCGAGTCAGGCGATTCTGAAACACTGCCTCTGCCCTTGTTTGGTCAAGGGTTGTATTCCATTAGAGGCGTGATTTATAGAAAGTCAGATGCCATAAATATAGACCCATATGGAAATTATGGATAGCGTAACGACAATCAGCACGATACCTATGAAATTCGGAAAATTGCTCGTTTTTTTACTCCCAGCGGAAATCACAAAATGTGTCCCATTCATTGCTGTAATATTGTACGCTCTCGATGAAAGCTTCTTTTTCGAGCTGTAAAGCTAAAGCTCTGTATTTGCCATAAATCAATGAGCTCTTCTTATCTTGGGCTCTTATGATCAATCAATACCTATTTAGTTGGCCACTATAAAATTGCTTACTCTCCAACTGTCAAATGAAGCAAGATACGCTATATTACGTACCTATTACTGTATCCTGTACTTTGGTATCCAAAATCCCATTCACCTTTTTAATTTGAGAGGTTGCTTTGTGCTGATCATTTCGTACAATGAGTAGGAATTGTATCTCGGATTTTGAGAAACACGGGATACTACAAAAGGAAGGCTTTTCGCTTTCTGTGTACAACATATCGCGCACAGCAGCGAGGAATCGATTGATAATGTTCAGGCATCTATGTATGTTTGCTTCAGTCAGACTTTCAATTACCTAAGTATCAAACCTCGAAAATCAAAAGAAAATAAGCGACTGCGAAAAAAAGAATGAAGTAAACTCGTCCAAGGGGAAACCCCGAGACAGTGATGATGAACTCACGAGCTGTCAATATGTTGACTGATGAGTTCGGCGAGAACAAGGGCCTTTTGCAACACTTAAAGAGTCTTTTATGTGCTTGGGGGAAGTTTTTGAAGGCGACTCAAAGTAGCCGCCTGTGGGTTTTATACTCGTGGGAGTTATGACTGGGCAGGAAAAAGTAATCGGTGACTAATCTTCCCGCCATAGTTGGTAAACTGCATAAAAAAGGCGTCTGAGGATGTTGTTGGACAAGTATTTCGCTTCAATGTCAATCTTCACTATTTTTTGCTTTTTTGAACGGAAGTAATATTCAAATATCTATAATTTGGACAGAGATCCTCCATTCAGAAACCATAAGTCCAAAGCATCACTTCCCATTCGGGCCGCTATGATTTGCATATTATTCGCACCCTAACATTTTGCCATTTACATTCGTAAATAGCATTTAAAATGAAAAAATAAATATTTATGGATAAATCTTTACAGAATATTTGGGCCACCCCAAACAGCACAAACAAAAATCGACACTTTTCCATCAGGCCACGTTCAGGGAAGTAGAAAAATCTTTCGATCCGAGAGCTCTCCCGAAAACGAGGCCCTGGTAGATCCGAGGTAAATGATGAGCGGAGCAAAACCGAATATCTATTTCGTAAAATTCCTCAGCCTAATTAGAAACTAACTTTGAAGTTCGAGATGTAGACGATCAACCCTTAATTGCGCTTCAATGGGGCATCAGCACTTTTGTCTTGTTCCAGATAATTTGCCATTTCTTGGAGGAAACTGCACTCCGTCTGTACTCTTTAAATAACCAACGAAACACTTTTGAAAGTTAATTGAAATAGTTGCTGTTTTTCTCATTGACTTTTTGATGATTTTGTAAGTCCTTTTAAGCGGTTACTTCAAGAGTAGCTGCCGAGAAATCCCAATTTTCCTCAAAAAAAAAAAACTCAGTACAGGGCTGAGAAGTAGGTCGGCCTCTCTCCAACCGACGGCTCGTTCGGTTTCTATAGAACACCGGCCCAATATATGCCATCTTTCTGATTGTTGTGCTTCTCAATCTGGGATGATAGGATAAGCTGGTCTGTGATCCTCTGACAGCTCCCTCTTAACAAACTGTTTACAATCTTGAAGTAAATCTCAGATTGATTCGAATTCCAAATGACATCGAAAAGAAGGCAAATTTCGAAAACAGTATTGATTAATGCAAAATAGGAGCTCGTTCTTGCGCCTTACAAACTCGTAAAACCCCAGGAAATGCCTAGTGACCCTAGAGTATTTGTTGAGGCCTATTTTCACAAGGGCAGGTTCGTGACTTGGTCAACCCTGAATTGTGAATATCCCATACAATGCATTCTTTCTATCGAAGCAAACTAGGAATTCGTCAAAATGCAAATGAATTCCCCATATTTTATGGGAGAATGCGCTATTCTCAGCCGTATTGTCGGATGACGAAACTCTTTTGTTTTATGGATATATTTCCTTTCCTCCACCTTAGAACATTTCGCGTCCTTCCCCAGGCCTTGACCAATTCTTCCCTCTGAATCTCCACTCAAATAAGCGATCATAGCAACTCGTTTTTTGCCCATAGCAGGTTGTCCTATAGTGGATTATGGTGGGATGCTTTTTAAAAAGGCACCAAGAGGTTGATACTGTCAGTTTCTAGCTACAGAGGGAATGAAAGAACTTGGGCAATCTTCTGGGAAGACATAAAGATCAAGTGTTGCGGCAAAATAGAGCTCA